AACTAATATCAATATTGATATAAAATATGCAATATATAATATGCAATATATAATATATAATATTGATATATAATATATAATATGCACTAATATCAATATTTATATATAATATGCAATATATAATATTGAATATAAATATATAATAATATACTAATATCAATATTGATATAAAATATTGAATATATAATATACAATATATAATATGCAATATTGATATATAATATACAACTAATATCAATATTGATATATATATGCAATATATAATATGCAATATTGATATATAATATACAACTAATATCAATATTGATATAAAATATGCAATATATAATATGCAATATATAATATGCAATATTGATATATAATATAAACTAATATCAATATTGATATGTAATATGAAATATATAATATGCAATATTGATATACAATATGCAACTAATATCAGTATTGATATATAATATGAAATATATAATGTGCAATATATAATATGCAATATTGATATATAATATGCAACTAATATCAATATTGATATGTAATATAAAATATATAATATGCAATATTGATATATAATATGCAACTAATATCAATATTGATATATAATGAAGTAAGTATAACACTATGACTCAGGAAGATTTTGGTGTGGAACTTGTGTGACTGATTCGTGCTTATATCAAATGAGACCCTGCGAAGCGTCCCCTTATATTCGAGGCGTGTTCCAGGCAGAATAGGTCGGCTGTAATTGTCTCCAAAATGACAATCTTAAGTCAGGAGATAAAGAGAGTCCTCTGTGATGTATCCATTTCAAGACGTAGGAAAATGTGGCTCTCCACAATTTCCTGTCCTTTTTACTTTAACTCTAAATAATTTTTGTTCTTTTTGATTTCCCAACCTCAATCTTGTTCTGCAATCACTTTACTCAAGATGGATAGATAGGTTTTGCTTTCGGACATTTGCGTCCCATTTTCCGAAACAACACCGCCTTCTTTTTATATTGCTCGTGGCGACGTATGGGAGATTGTGCCGTAAGCACAAAACACCGTACGTCGTGTCCGACGTAACCCGAGGAACTTTTGTATTCCTATCTTAGTGTTAGATAGATAGATAGATAGATAGGAAAAACTTAGAGATGGATAGATAGTGGCGGTAGAGAAATGTAGTTCGCCCGAGCACTTTCCGTGAAAGAAGCGATAGAGAAGCGAGATGTTTGCCACATCCCGCCTGTAACAAAGAGGTTGGAGAGTGGACAAATAATTGATCACCTCAAAGAAGTGTTGGTTGGGTGGAATGGATCAGATTGTTCCACTTTCTGACGAAAAGGGAGGCAGTCTGTCTATCAATCTGACAGTTTCTTCATATCTATCTATCTATTTCTATATTTCAATCTATACATTATCTATATATCAAAGGCCGTTCATTATCTATGTCTCTCTCTCTCTCACACTCTCTCTATCTCTCACACTCTCTCTCTCTCTATATATATATCAGTTACTTCATATCTATCTATCTATCTATCTATCTATCTATCTATATTTTTTCTATTCATTATATTTATCTAAGTTTTCACATCTATCTATCTATCTATCTATATTTTTCAGATTGTTCATTATCTATTTATCTAAGTTTTCACATCTATCTATCTATCTATCTATCTATCTATCTATCTATCTTTTTCAATCTGTTCATATTTATCTATCTATCTATCACAGACGATTAAATATCTATCTATCTATTTCAGTCTCTTCAATATCTATCTATCTATCTATGTATCTATGTATCTATCTATCTATCTTAAATATGTATGCCTCTTACTATTTTTATCTATCTATCTATCTATCTATCTATCTATCTATCTATCTATCTATCTATCTATCTATTTCAGTCGCTTCAATATCTATCTATCTATCTATCTATCTATCTTTTTCAGCCTGTTCATTATCTATTTATCTAAAAATTTTCCACATCTATCTATCTATCTATCTATCTATCTGTTCATCATCTATTTACCTAAGTTTCTTCATATCTATCTATCTATCTATCTATCTATCTATCTATCTATCTATCTATCTGTTCATCATCTATTTACCTAAGTTTCTTCATATCTATCTATCTATCTATCTATCTATCTATCTATCTATCTATCTCAGCCTGTTCATTATCTATGAAATAGATATGAAAAACTTACATAGATAGATAGATAGATAGATAAATAGATAGATAATGGACAAACCAAGAAACAATCTCGACTTACCGAGATCCGTTCCTACGGCGCGACGTAACCTGATTTTCGACCTCGGTTGGAACTCAGGTACATAAGTAACGTAGCATTTCTTTTTCCTCTTTGCTACGTAAACTTTGAGAATATAAGACCAATGCATGACTGGCAGCTAGATTTCATAATTTTACAGTTGAAATGTCAAGATATAACCGCAAGTTCTATGTTAACAGTTTCTTCTCTCGTGCTTTTTCGCTTCTGGAGATATTTACCGGCTTCTTGCTTTGACCTTTGACCTTCAAAAATTTAAATGCAATGGCAACCGTTATCTTCCGTCTTTCTAATTCCTGTTCTTTTACTGTTCTCTCTACTTAATATTGATTTACATTTTTTCATATTCTTTCACACTCAGTAAACCCCTACGTCTTAGAAATGATGAAGAAAAATGATTATAATCTTGTATTCAACCCGGAAGTTGTTTGCTAAAATGTTTGTCGATTAATTTGTTATTACGGCTTATCAACCTTTATTCAAAACCAGAAAATTATTTTTATATTGTAATAATTCTTTGGCGATAACAATTATTTATTGATAGAAATTCTAGTAATGAAACTACAGCTACGGAGAAAAGAGGTAAATTCAAAATTATCCAAAGGTAAATGAATATATAGAACCCGACTAGAATTGGAACTCGGCTCTCCAATTCTTAATTCCGAGCAGTTATCAACTTCACCGCATGTACATACAAGCTTACAGCACCTGGTATTTCTAAGTACTGACGAAGCTCGACGTTGCTTAACTTTGGTATCGTACGAGAACCGTTGTTTCAACGTGATGTGGCCGTTACAAACACATTGCATAAAGAGAATATAAATTAGCGTTACATTTGTCACAAAAAAAACCGTTGGCTACCCGAGGATTCATTTCATCTAATATTATAGTTTGGAAGTCCTATTATGTGTTTAGACGAATATCCATCTTTATCCTTACCTGAATCGTCGCTAACGATGCAGGTAAAAATGATCGGCTTTCTGTAGCTGACGCCTCATGCTGCCCTTTACCTTTATAAAAACCAGATTAGACCGAAGAAGAATTATTTTCTTCCCTTCAACCTCTCTCTCTCTCTCTCTCTCTCTCTCTCTCACACACACACACACAGAGGCGGGATTTGGCGAGTCTCTCATTGCTCTATCGCTGCTTCCTTGGACGAACTACATTCCTTGGTTCCACCAGGTCTGACCTTTACGGCTAGTACCAGCCATGCCACTTACATAGTAGTAAAGCACCCTAATTCCCACTGTATTCCATCGGCGAAAAGTTCAACTCGAAGTGCTTCTTCCCGCAAAGCACAGCTCTATGGACCAGTCTCCAAAGAGGATTTTTTTTTTCCCGATCACTACAATTCTTAAGCTGTTCAAATCTAGAGACAACCGTTTATCTTCCTCTCCTATTCATAGAAACTACCCCCCCGCCCAAGGTAAACCCTTATCTCCAGTGGTAACTGAGATTTGTACAGGAATTATCTTACTGTAAAAAAAAAAAGACATTGCTATTATCATATCATTTACTATTCTATTTCCTTTTTATCTGACTCCCGATAAACTTGATTGTTAATAATTTAATTTAGGGAGCTGTCATTATCTACATTACTTATGCTTGAATGTAATGAATGAATGATAATAATGAATAAAATGATAATGAGACCAACGATGGGGACATTAGTAAAGAAGATAGATAGATAGATAGATAGATAGATATGAAGAAACTGATAGATAGATAGATAGATAGATAATAGATGAATGACTGAGATAATGAATAGATGAGATAGATAGATAGATGATGTGAAGAAACTGATAGATAGATAGATAGATAGATAATGAAATGATAGATGAATAGATGAATAGATGAGATAGATGAATGAAGAAAATGATAGATAGATGAATAGATAGATAGATAGATAGATATGAAGAAACTGATAGATAGATAGATAGATAATAATGACAGACTGAGATAGATAGATAGATGAATAAATAGATATGAAGAAACTGATAGATAGATAGATAGATAGATGGATAGATAGATAGATAATAATGAACAGACTGAGATAGATAGATAGATAGATGGATAGATATGAAGAAACTGATAGATAGATAGATAGATAGATAGATAGATGAATATGAAGAAACTGATAGATAGATAGATAGATGAATAGATAGATGAGAAACTGATAGATGAATAATGAACAGACTGAGATAGATAGATAGATAGATAGATAGATAGATAGATAGATAGATGAATATGACGAAACTGATAGATAGATAGATAGATGGATAGATATGAAGAAACTGATAGATAGATAGATAGATAGATAGATAGATATGAAGAAACTGAGATAGATAGATAGATAGATATGAAGAAACTGATAGATAGATAGATAGATAGATAGATAGATAGATAGATATGAAGAAACTGATAGATAGATAGATAGATAGATAGATAGATAGATAGATAGATATGAAGAAACTGATAGATAGATAATGAACAGACTGAGAGAGATAGATAGATAGATAGATATGAAGAAACTGATAGATAGATAGATAGATAGATAGATAGATAGATAGATAGATAGATAGATAGATATGACGAAACTGATAGATAGATAGATAGATAGATAGATAGATAGATAGATAGATAAAACTGATTGTTACTAATTCAATTTACAGGATGAGGGTTACAAATGAGATTCAAAATTGACAAAGTTTTCCATTTCATTGAAGCTGATATTAAACGCATGGAAGCGTTACTTCTTTCTTTCTTTCATTCTTTCTTTCTTTCTGTTTTTCTGTTTTTCTCTCTTTCTTTCTTTCGTTCATTCAGTTTTTCGTCCTTTCTGTTTTTCTCGCTTTGTTTGTTTGTTTGTTTGTTTGTTTGTTTCTTTCTTTCTTTCTTTCAGGTTTCTTTCTTTCTTTCTCTTTTTCTTCCTTCCTTTCTTTCTTTTTTCTTTCTCTCTTTCTGTTTTTCATTCTTGCTGTTTCTCTTTCATTCTTTCTTTCTGTTATTCTTTCTTTCTGTTTTTCTGTTTTTCATTCATTCATTCATTCATTCACCCATTAATTTTTCCTTCTTTCTTTCTTTCTTTCTTTCTTTCTTTCTTTCTTGCTTTCTTTCTTTCTTTCTTTCTGTTTTCTTTCTTTCTGTTTGTCTTTCTTTCTCTCTTTCAGGTTTCTTTCTTTTATGTTTTCTTTCTTTCTTTCTCTCTTTTTCTTCCTTTCTTTCTTTTTTCTTTCTCTCTTTCTTTTTTCATTCTTTCTGTTTCTCTTTCTTTCTTCCTTCTTTTTTCTGTTATTCTTTCTTTCTGTTTTTCTGTTTTTCATTTATCCATTCATTTTTTTACTTTCTGTTTTTCTTTCTTTCTTTCTGCTTTTTTTCTGTTTTTCTTTCTTTCTGCTTTTTTTCTGTTTTTCTTTCTTTCTGTGTTTCTGTTTTCATTCATTCATTTATTCTTTCTTTCTTTCTTTTTTCCTTTCTTTCTTTCTGCTTTTTTCTGTTTTTCTTTCTTTTTTTCTGTTTTTCTGTTTTCCTTCCTTTCTTTCTGTTTTTCTTTCTTCTTCTTATGTACTTTCTTTTTGTCACTACAACCAAATAGTTTTTTTTTGTTCTGAATGAGACGCATAACGACAAGTTATAATGGTCAACAAGCTTGTCTCGCTAAAAACAATTGCAACTGAATAGTGAGTTCGATCCTTACTGGGTGCCCCATACTTTCGGCGTTGTGTCGCATCTAAGATACGCTTAGAAAATCACGATAAATATGAATGTAGTCCCCATGAAAAAATAATAGGGTCAAAATGGAAAGATTCAAAATTGAGAAAAGTTTTCTATTTCACTGAAGCAGACATTGAACGCATGAGAGTATTATCGCTTTTTCTTTCTTGTTGTTGTTCTTCCTTTCTTCTTCTTACTATTAATGCTTTCTTTTTGTCACTACAGTCAAACAATATCTCTGGTACATAAAACTGAATACATCACGTCGACACACTATAAACGTTGTGCCGTTAGCTGAATTACGATTGTGTCGTGAGTTCGATCCTCACTTGGTGTCCCCTACATTCTCTATTGGACCAAATCTACGCTATGCTTAGTATAATCGTTATAAAACTGAATGGTCCATTATTTATCTGAGGTAATGGCAAGGTAAAAGGCACGTCTTAATTATCGTGGAATAAACAATATTTTGTCAGAGTAATTGAGAAAATTAGATCGGTCAGAAGGAACAGCCACAAAAACGTTTTAGGCGAAATAACAAAGATGGTGATAGTGGTTCTAATTTTTCATGTGATAATGCACTTTTAACATTTAGAAATGTCTAGTATCTGGATTAGTGAATGTATATTCTGACTTCTGAACAGTAAATGCGTTTGTTCTATATTTAAAAATTACAAGTAAACTTCGGAGATATTAAGAATTTGGGAATAATTTCTCTGTTTTATGATTAAATACCAAGTATAATGGGGAAATTTCTATGTCACATAATAAGGAAAGACGGTTTGGAGAATTTGATACTCACAGGACAGAAAATGACAGATGGAAAACAACGCATAAGCTAAGCTAGCGAGCATGACTGAATGGATGGCGCAGCAGGATCTGGGAGAGATAGCCAGAAGACAACATTTATTAAGAGCTACAATGAACAGGAAGTTGTGGAGAGTCGTGATCGCCATGGAGACGACACGTAGAGGAAGAACAAGAGTAATTCTCTTACCTGACAAGATATTCCATAAAGCCTTCACCGTCTTCCCGAACTGCATTCATGTCCCTATCGTAATCCGCCCTGTTCGATGCACATTGACTGCCACGCTTCTGATCTGTAACATTGCGCGGCAGGAGACTGCGGTAGCCAATTTCCAAGGCAGACAGGCGTCCAGAACCGGAAACAAAGCCAGAAGCGAACACATACGCAGACGCCGGCTCATCCACTAAAGCAGCTTCGGGTCGGCTAGTTCTCCAGTTTTTGTATTCGGATGGAACCGCGCTGGATTCCTTTGGGCTAGAGTTGTGGCTTCCTTGAAGTTCATAATACGAGGAAGCGTCTGTTGACTTTGACAATGACGGTGCAACGTTGGAAAACGATTCCTTATTCTGCGTTGCCATTTTGAAAGCTAAGCCTTCAGAAGGTGCCTCTTACGTCCTTGGTTTATTCGCATCGACGCCGATGCAATCGTCTGTGTGTTCAGCTTCATTGTTAAACATTCTTTTTTTTTTTCTGCATTCGCTATGTATCTCCCAATTAAATTAAGAACATCTTTTTCTATCTACTTTCAACGTTGAAAATAAATACACGGCATTTGTTCATTTTACGTTCTGATTGGCCAAGGGCTCAATTAGTCAGTTTTACATTCAGTGATTGATTTTGGTTTGCTAAAGTTACTTTCTTTCTTCTCCCCCCCCTCTCTCTCTCGTTCTCTCTCTCTCTCTTTTAAGATAATTATGTCGGTTCCTTAACAATCGGCTACGAGGAGAATCATGAACGATTTCTCTTAATTGTTTTCAAAAATATATTTCTTTAAATAGTTTATCAAACAGGACAAAGTAAATTTAATGTAAGAACCAGTACACATATTTTCACGCTTTCACAATAAACGAATTTAATATAGATGCACAATTGCAGCTGAGCAAAAAGACTAGTGTAAAATGAACAAGCTTGCGTCATATACATAGTGAAAATTACTATCGCCAATATAAACTGTACAGAAAAGTTCGACATCTCTGAATTCGCTAGCAGCACGATGTACTAATTTCAAATCTAAATTCTTTGTCTATTTAAACCCATACATTTATTAGAAAAAAAATTATTCAGTTTAAATGCAGAAAAAAAGTCATATCAAATCACTTCAAAGCCCCACACTTTCCGCTTTATACATTTTTTTTGTGCTACCATAGTATGATATCTACCGAGGTATTTACGATCTACCATAAATGACGATACACTTATTATTGCTGGAAAATGCTAAAAAAAAAAACAAAAAAAAACGATGATTTTTCTTTAAATGACATCAAAACACTTTACAAACATTAAAATCACTATTTGATTTTTTTATTATTTTTTTGTATAAAACATATTTAATGATATTTAATACATAACTAGTTCACTGTTCACTGCTTTTGTGATGTCAAATATCACTCGTTGCCACTTTTGTAATGTCAACGAATACTCGGTGTCAATTTCGTAATGCTCGTTGTAGTAGAGACTTTGTAATCGCAGATACAACTATAGTAACGCCGTTGAACAATACTGGTGTCAGACGCCTTCGAATAACACTCGCGCTAATAATAGTACTTGCTCGAAAAGCAACCACCGTATGCTGATCTGAATAAAGGAATAGAATAGAGAATAGCGATCCGAATATTAATAGAGGATAGACTAGAAATGACGATCAATTAGACGTCACGCTAATTTCTATATATGCGTTTCATTTATGGTCACGTGGTCTACTTAAAATACAGTGTCGGCAGCGAGATTGTATTCCTATATAACAACTGCCTTAACCCTAACCCCTAACCCTAGCCCTCACTTTAACATATTTCATATTTCCAACATTTGGTAAATATCATACAATGGTAAAAAAGGATAGTGCATATTATACTATAATAAAACATGGATTGTAGCATCCATTTTTTCTATTACCCAGGCCTTGTTTCGGCTTGGGTATGGCGATAAACTACATCCAGTAACAAGGCCTCTGATCGGGAGATTGGAAGTTTTCAGGTTCGTGGAATCACGTGTCAACTGCTATTATTCCCAAAGTTCACCCTGACCCAGAGTGGTAACACCTGCTCGGGCCCCAGCTATGGGCAAGTAACAAAAACAAAAATCAACAATACATTTTTATAAATGAACAACAATAGATTTTTTTATAGTAAAATGACAATCAATGCAGCACTAAAAAATATTAAAATATATTCTTATAGTAAAATATATTTAAAAAGTATAAAACTCCGTACAAAATATCTGTAGTTGAAAGCATAAAATTACGTATAACGTATCTAGATTTCGGCATTAAGCAACTCAATGGATGATATGCAGTTAAGCCAGATCAACCAGCCAATCAGATGTTATTGACAGACTTAACGGGGAATTAAACCCCGCGAAACAGATGCCAAATTCAATTTCCTTTAAATTTGGTGTCTATCTACGCTTGTAATGTGTATAACGATAATATCTGGGCATGACGATATACTACATCCTGGAGTGAGGCTTCAAATCGGGAAACTGGTGCTTTTAAAGGACCTGGAAGGCACCTTTTAATTGCTGTTGTTTCCAGCCCCATCCTGGCCCGGGATCGTAGCACCGGTTAGGGTCCCAGCAAGCATTGAACGCAGACAGAGCATGTGTGCAACGAGGAAGTTTTGAGGAAAATAGAAACAAAAAGGACACCTTTACTTAGAATCAGAAATAGTTTGTTTCTATGTCCTTCCAGACTTGATTATGTGATTTGAGGCCAAATAACTTTCTTGGTTTCAGTATCTGCAAGAATATTATTGCAGTCATATATGGGCAGGGGCTGCCGTCTTCACTCCCCAGTCTCGACAGTGTCCGAAAGCATCTCCGCGTCCTTGTGGGTGATAAATTATTTCCCGCACTACAACGCCGTTGCCGCCGAAGAAACATCGCAAGCCTCATGCTGTTCTGTCGCTATTTATTAGTTCTACCCTTCACGGCTAGGAGCCGCCATGTCACGCACATTGTGGCGAACCACACTCATTCTCTTCGTATTCCATCGCTGAGATGTGCGTTTCACTCGGACAGCTTCTTCCCACAAACTGCTGCTTTGTGGAACCGACTCCCAAGGGGATACTTCCCCAATCACTACAATCTTAACTTGTTCAAGTCTAGGGTTATCTACCGTTATCTTGCCCACTTATCCCTATAAAATGTGCCTCTTACTCTGCATCCCCTACCTCGAGTGGCTCTTGGGCCTTGTACAAGGTGAAAAATATAGGCGCGTGGCCGACTGATTAGAACGTTCGCATTCTGACCATGAAACCCGGGTTCGAATCTCACCATGGTCGATTTGTCAGGAAGGAGATTTCCTGATGTCCTCAGAATGGAGGGGGGTCGATCCCAGCGTGCGAAACCTTTGGAAAGTGCCTGAAAACCATACCACCGGTTGATCTAAGCCCTGTGAGTGAAATTGGGTAGACGGAACATTTGAGGCAGTCGATAGCTGTGCTAGAACGATGTCACAAGTCTTCGTGGCCGAGGGCTTCAAAGAGCTGGCCTTGTTCAAACTCTTGATCACGCTAGATAACACACTCTTTCCCAGAAACTGTAAATAAAGCCAGCTCAAATTATTTACATTAATGGCGTTGCAGTAGCAGAACAACACCGACATATATTCTCCCCTTTATTATCTGATGAAGATTTCATAAGGATGAAACATGTTAGATTGATATATGCTTCCGGTTTCTTCTTTATCATGTTATTCTAGTAGATGCCTATCTATATTTGATCTGTATTCTATCCCAACTTACCTATCTATCTATCTATCTATCTATCTATCTATCTATCTATCTATCTATCTATCTATCACAGTCTGTTTCTATCTATCTATCTATCTATCTATCTATCTATCTATCTATCTATCTATTTCAGTTTCTATCTATCTATCTATCAATCTATCTATCTATCACAGTCTGTTTCTATCTATCTATCTATTTCAGTTTGTTTCTATCTATCTATCTATCTATCTATTTCAGTTTGTTTCTATCTATCTATCTATCTATCTATCTATCTATCTATCACAGTCTGTTTCTATCTATCTATCTATTTCAGTTTGTTTCTATCTATCTATCTATCTATCACAGTTTGTTTCTATCTATCTATCTATCTATCTATCTATCTATCTATTTCAGTTTCTATCTATCTATCTATCTATCTATCTATCTATCTATCTATCTATCACAGTCTGTTTCTATCTATCTATCTATTTCAGTTTGTTTCTATCTATCTATCTATCTATCTATCTATCTATCTATCTATCTATTTCAGTTTGTTTCTATCTATCTATCTATCACAGTCTGTTTCTATCTATCTATCTATTTCAGTTTGTTTCTATCTATCTATCTATCTATCTATCTATCACAGTCTGTTTCTATCTATCTATCTATCTATCTATCTATCTATCTATCTATCTATCTATCACAGTCTGTTTCTATCTATCTATCTTTTTCAGTTTGTTTCTATCTATCTATCTATCTATCTATCTATCTATCTATTTTGTTTCTATCTATCTATCTATCTATCTATCTATCTATCTATCTATCTATTTCATTTTGTTTCTATCTATCTATCTATCTATCTATCTATCTATCTATCTATCTATCACAGTCTGTTTCTATCTATCTATTTCAGTTTGTTTCTATCTATCTATCTATCACAGTCTGTTTCTATCTATCTATCTATCTATCTATCTATCTATCTATCTATCTATTTCAGTTTGTTTCTATCTATCTATCTATCCATCTATTTATCTATCTATGTATCCCAGTTTGTTTCTATCTATCTATCTATCTATCTATCTATCTATCTATCTATCTATCTATCCCAGTCTGCTCATCTCTCTCTCTATTCCAATCTATCTATCTATCTATCTATCTATCTATCTATCTATCATTATCTATCTCTTCCAGTCTATTCATCTCTTTCCCTATCTATTTCAGCCTGTTCATTTCTCTCTCTCTCTCTCTCTCTCTCTCTCTCCTTCCCACTCTGTCTCACACACTCAAGTAACAATTTACGTTAATGGCTTTGCAGTATTAGCATGACTTTGTCGATGATGGCTCTCCACAACTGCCTTCAGAACAAGTGATATATGTATGATAAGATAGAGAACAAACGTTTATCAATCTAACATGTTCCACTTTTATTAAAGCTTCATTGGAAAAAAAAATAATAGAAAATTTGCACAGACATCAGGAAAGAAAAATCTGTGCAGATATTGTAATACTAAATTTATTCAGACATCACGAGATTAATACAAGTTACATTTGGACTCTACAATCACAAGAGATGCTGAAAATGGTGACCTTTAGTTTCTAGACATTTATTAGTACAACGAGCTACAGCTTGGGCAACGTTGGCCAAAGCGTCCTATGAGATTTCTGCACATGCATTTTCAATTTCTGTTTTAAAGTCTGCCAATGTAGTCGATTTTCTGAGAATTTATATATATATATATATATATATATATATATATATATAGATATAGGAGGTTGCTATTCAAGGTTTGAGATTCCATTTTAGCCTAATCTATCTCTCTCTCTCTCTCTCTCTCTATATATATATATATATATATATATATATATATATATATATATATATATATATATTCCGTTTTAGCGTTATATATATATATATATATATATATATATATATATATATATACTTCACCCAAAAGTGTATATACACTTCAGGAAATGAAAATTGTACTGATATTGTAATAATAAATTTATTCAGACATCACGATATTAATACAAGTTAAGTTTGGATTCTACAATCACAAGAGATGCTGAAAATGGTGACCTTTAGTTTCTAGACATTTATTAGTACGTCGATCTACAGCTTGCATTTTCAATTTCTTGCTTAAGGGCCGCTAATGTAGACGATTTTCTACGAACTTATATATATATATATATATATATATATATATATATATATATATATATATATATTCATAATCACCATTAGACTCATCCAACTCTTTCCATATCCTCGGCACTGTCCTCAGATTGATATCCAAACCCCCTGGTGGCGTGAATTACGTCATGGGGGTCTTTTTTCTCTCACAGACGGCGTCCAACTGACCCAACAATGTTATGCAGTCGACACAAAAAAAAAAAAAAAAAACAAACAAAGCGTCTGCGCGAAATTAAAATATAAAATCTCGACAATTTATCCATCGCACAATATATATATATATATATATATATATATATATATATATATATATATATATACATTGTATGCATGTGTGCGTACATGTCCAACTGTATATTTCTGGTTAGTCCTCTATTAAACATTTGAAAGATTTTCACCTCTCTCCTATCGTTGTACTCCCGTTCATTCATTGACGGCAAGATGATTAACTTTCACTTATATTCTTTGTTCATAAGAAAATACATTCAATTTAAGTAGCAGCGTCATAAAATTAATTTCAAAGGGCTATCTATCTATCTATCTATCTATCTATCTATCTATCTATCTATCTATCTCTATCAAAATGTTCACATCTATCTATCTATCTATCTATCTATCTATCTATCTATCTATCAAAATGTTCACATCTATCTATCTATCTATCTATCTATCTATCTATCTATCTATCTATCTCATTCTTTTATCTATCTATCTATCTATCTATCAAAATGTTCACATCTATCTATCTATCTATCTATCTACCAAATGTTCACATCTATCTATCTATCAAAATGTTCATATCTATCTATTTCAGTCTGTTCATATCTATCTATCTCTCTATGACATTATTTTATCTATCTATCTATCTCATTCTTTTATCTATCTATCTATCTATCTATCTATCAAAATGTTCACATCTATCTATCAATCTATCTCACTCTTTTATCTATCTATCTATCAAAATGTTCACATCTATCTATCTATCTATCTATCTATCTATCTATCTATCTATCTATCTCATTCTTTTATCTATCTATCTATCTATCTATCTATCAAAATGTTCACACCTATCTATCTATCTATCTACGAAATGTTCACATCTATCTATCTATCTATCTATCTATCTATCTATCTATCTATCAAAATGTTCATATCTCTGTATCTATTTCAGTCTGTTCATATCTATCTATCTATCTATCTATCTATCTCGCTATCTATCTATCAAAATGTTCACATCCATCTATCTATCTATCGAAATATTCACATCTCTCTCTCTCTCTCTCTATCTATCGAAATATTCACATCTCTCTCTCTCTCTCTACCTATCAATCTATCAGAATATTCACATCTATCAGAATGTTCACATCTATGTACCTACTAATATCTGTTCACATCTATCTATCTCTATATCGAAATATTCACATCTCTCTCTCTCTATCAATCTATCAGAATATTCACATCTATCAAATAATTGTCAGACTTAATGCATTTCATAATATATATATATATATATATATATATATATATATATATATATATATATATATATATATACCAGGGTGCAGATTCTATCAGACAAAGACTCGTGGCTTCAAAATTAACTTTCGAGCAAATCGTTGCCTACGAGTGAAGAACAAAACAATTTTTAGCAGTAAACCAAATTTTAATTCTTAGATAGTACTTTACTACCGTAAGCGAGTTAATGCGGGTTGAAGCCTAAGTGAGGGGACGTGCGCAATCAGCTGCTGTTTTCTGTGTTTCTGCGTGGCTCGCCTCGTACTTGCTGTTTTCGCGGGGTGGTCAGTGTTATAGACAACAGTTTTCTTTGTCCTGTTATCTTCGTCTCAAAATGTAATTAATCTTCCTTCCATCACTTTCTCTCAGACTGAGCCTCTTGCTCTTGTACTTTGAAGTTGACTCCAATTACCGATGGCCATCGGTCGAAAGTAAATGTTCCGTATCGAGTTGGTTTTAAGTTTGACTCATATTGGTACAGATTCAATCTTTCTTCACTTGCTTGATGTTTAAGAGTCACTATAATGTGCAGTACATATTAATTTACTTAAAAAAAAAAAAAAACTTATCTTTCTATATGTCTGCTGATTCGTTGGACCGGAAAGGGCACTTTGGCTAAATGACAAATGTCCAATATCTAGCTTCATGAAATCACTGTTATATTGGCATAATGTATTCTTCTCGTTACCATCACCCCTATCCTACTTGTATACTTGGCAGACTATATGTCAAAGGCAACCTATAACTTTTTAGATGAAATATATTTCCTACTATAGAAAGAAAATCGCCAGTCCAGGATAATATATGTTTGTCTCTCGTCCTCCGTCATATATATATATATATATATATATATATATATATATATATATATATATATGTTTTTTTTTTAGGCCTATCAATCCTTTTGCGGTTTATTTGAAGCTAGAAAATATTTTTAGATTTCTTTTAAAAACTGATTTCAAAATAATAAATAATAATAATGATATATATATATATATATATATATATATATATATATATATAATGATATATATATATATATCATTAATATTATTATATTATATAGGTTTATTTGAAGCTAGAAAATATTTTTAGATTTCTTTAAAAAACTGATTTCAAAATAATGAATAATATTAATGATATATATATATATATATATATTTAATGATCTATATATATATCATTAATATGATTTATTATTTTGAAATTAGTTTTTTAAATGAAATCAAAAAATATTTTCTAGCTTCAAATAAACCGCAAAGGATTGATAGGTCGTAAAAAAACCTATGTATGTATATATATATAATATTATAATTTAGCTGCTTTAAAATATGGTTCCATCGCTACACAAGAATTACCATGTTTCAAAAACAGAAACTAAAACTTTCAAATTCTATTATAGAATTAAATTAAAGGCCCTAGTTCTGTTCATTTTCATATTTTTAAATCAGTTAAATTGTATTTATGCTCTGTAAATTTGTAGTGAGCCCTTTTTCATAAAAACAAAAATATTAATTAATAACGGATTATATATATATATATATATATATATATATATATATATATATATATATATATATAACATATATATATATATGAGTAGAGGATAACAGCTCGAACTGAGGAATGGGAGAGCCGAGTTGGAATAACAATCGAATTCATTACATCCACTTACGTGCTAATACCCTTGGGAAAGGTATTAATTCTCTTCTTCTCCCGCCAGCTACGGGTAAATAGCAGTACAGACCAGGTTCTATAGCCTCGGATGGCAACTGGTCTAGGAGAAGGACAACTCTGAATTCAAAACCTGCGGAGGGTCGTTTGGGGACCTTGTGGCACGTAGTGCACCAGGTCTCTGTATTCGGCCCTTCAAAATGTGTGGTCAGTTCTACACAAAGCCTTCATATATTCAAATCATGTGTTGGTGTCTGGGCTGTCGGTTCCTTGGAACTGAGGTGCTTGATCCTCATACGTCGAATACAACAGGAGAGTTCACCATATATATATATATATATATATATATATATATATATATATATATATGTGTGTGTGTGTGTGTGTGTGTGTGTGTTTCCGTAGGTTTTTATTTTATTGGTTGCTAAATGATGGCCGCACAGCTCATTCTAGCTTCCAACGCCCTTTGGATATGTCCAAGAAGGAGAAGGCAATCTGCATCATCTCCTCAGTGATTGCACATTGATCCTCTGGGATGAGGCGACAATATGCCATAAGTATTCCTTCGTGGCTCTTCACGCGGCACTTCAAGGCACAACACACGGCTCTTGGGAGGTGCAAAAGTCTTGCTTGCGGGAGACTTTAGACACACTTTTCCAGTGATCCTGATGGGACAAGAGCTGGCGAGGTAAATGCCATTATAAATTCTTTGTACCTGTGGAGCAGAGTGAAAAATCCGAAATTCACAACCAGCAAGAGAGTACAGCTGAGAGATGATAAGGAAGCTGGTATTTTCTCGAAGCTATTGTGGTAATGGCACTTTGGTTGGGGAGAAGGTGTAGTGGGCCGTGGCTGTTATGTTGTTGATAGAAGTAGAGTCAGATGTAGAGGAAACGCATGTAAGGCTCAGATTCTCCTGCCCGCCGGGTCCAACTACATAAAAATTTTGGACTTTGATTAAGTCCAAGAAGAAGGCAAAGAAAACAAACAAAACACAAGACCGATAATATATGTATATATAAATATATATTAATAAACAGGTTACACGAAAACAGTTACAAAAGACAAAGTGTGTGAGTGTGAATATTCTGTATGTGCGCGTGTGTGTGTGTATTGTGCTTAGCGTGTTCCCAGCATTTTGGGGAAACACTATCTCTGGTGAGCGTTCACATTTTTGAGGTGGTAAGGCTGGAAGACTGAGGGAAAAGAAAGATTTACCTCAAGGTGTCGGCGCACAGGCCTGAGGGAAAAGGAGAGAAACGAAAGGTCAGCGGCTTTTTATAGCAGCGAAGAGCGACCCCTGGTGAAAGGGTTAATGTACTAAAGGAGAAGTTAACTCCAACAAAGGATTGCCGGGTCAGTTTGCCTTTTAGACATATGGTAACTGATTTGAAGAAACTAATGGCTAGGGTCTTTCCAAACCTGAGGAATCAGTTTACTGACCACAACTAGGTGAGAGTCCGTCCCATTTTAGCTCCAAAGAATGTGGCAGTTCATGATTTTTGCATCAAACTTCTGGAACAGTTGCCAGGTTAGCGTCATAGATTCAGTTCCATTGACGCTCTTACCGAAGCTGTGAATTATCCAGTTGAAATTTTGAATAGCTTAGCACCAGCAGGCCTCCCACCTCACAATTTTCCCCTCAAGATGATGCTAAGAAAGCTGGATCCACCGAAGCTTTGCAATGGCACACGATTTACAATTAAGAAGATGCCAACAATCTTAGAGGCGACAATCCCGACTGGCAAAGCAAACGGTGAATTTGTACTTATTCCTGACCCAATTATTCTCTCGGATATGCCTTTCCAGTTCAAGCGGCTTCAATTCATGGTGAAACTGAGTTTTGCAGACAGCGTTAACAAAGATCAGGGTAAGTCCTTGGATGTGGTAGGCCCTGACATTGCAGAATTGTTTTTTTTTCTATAGCCAACTTTATGTGGGATGTTTAAGAGTCAGCAGTTCCAACCATTATTTATAACACACACAGAAAGACCAAAAATGTTGTTTATGAAGAGGCTCTGTAAACTTGATAAGAAACCCAAACATTAGGTGTCTATGATTTAACTATACTATTTGCCAGTGTTGTAAATCTTTGGTTAATCTATGTTATTCTATTCGTAATCTATATGCTATTCTATTCGTAAATATATCAATCTGCAGGTTTATTGTGAAATGTCAGTCTATTTGTACATCTATTTTAACACCAGCCATCCTAAGGACAATATTCTCTGAAAACGTACAAAACCCTTCGGTGATACTTTGAATTGTTACTTTCGGATAACCGATTTGCCTGTGATTACGCGAGTCGCTTTACGATTTTGGTAATCATAACATTGGTATTTCCTCTAAAAATCATAGCGGCGGCGGTTGGGTATTCTCTTTGAACGCACAGAAGCCATTTTCAGTGATACTTACTTTCAACTGTTACTTTCGGATAACCGAAGGAAAGATATGACAACGAGAACTGGGCAGAACATCCGCTTTCCCTGGAATTAGCTTGTACGTCAGCTAGTATATATTTCGGCTGCGTTAATTCTTTCAAACGTTTTTTTGCTGAATAATATCGACGAGCTCTGTTTATTAAATTTTTTATTGATTTTATTTCAATATACGGATTATTTGTTTCATGTAATCGGTTAATTTTCCAAAGATCCTATATATTTTTATTTTCCTGGGTACTTTCAAATGTTGCTACATTCAAGGAATTTGTCTTGTGTCTGTTTATGTAACTGTTTTTTGGTTAATTCAGACGTTTCTACATTTGTTGGAACCCACTCAAGTTGACGTCATTTAAACGGTAAAACTGGATAGTTTTATGCGTGTTTTAATTTTTTTGTAACACACCTCAGTATACGACCCACTATCGAGATTGCTATCATGTTTATGTCGGCTAATTCTCATCCATTACAGATGTTGAGACTTTCTTGTAGATGTTGAGACATTCTTTGCTCTGTGTCCTATGTGGTGTAATGGTTAGGAAGCGTTTCTCGCTAGACAAATTACGACTGAGTTGTGAGTTCGATCTTCACTGGGTGCACCATACTGTCGGCCTTGTGCCATGTCTATACTACGCTTAGTAAATTGTTATACAGGGCATATTCGACGTTTAGCAAGTTTGTCTTACTAGATCTTCACTGGGTGCATCATACTCTTGGCCTTGTGCCACATCTATACTTCGCTTAGTAAATTGTTATATAGGGCATATTCGACACTTACCCAGCTTGTCTTACTGAATCAATTACGACTGAGTTGTGAGTTCGATTTTTACTGGGCGCACAGTACGGTCGGCCTTGTGCCACATCTATACTACGCTTAGTAAATTGTTATATAGGACAGTTTGACGCTTAGCAAGTTTGTCTTACTAGAACTTCACTGGGTGCACCATACTCTTGGCCTTGTGCCACATCTACACTTTTGCTTAGTAAATTCTTATATAGGGCATATTCGACACTTACCCAGCTGGTCTTACTGGATCAATTACGACTGAGTTGCGAGTTCGATCTTCACTGGGCGCGCTATACACTCGGCCTTGTGCCACATCTATACTACGCTTAGTAAATTGTTATATAGGACAGTTTGACGCTTAGCAAGTTTGTCTTACTAGAACTTCACTGGGTGCACCATACTCTTGGCCTTGTGCCACATCTACACTTTGCTTAGTAAATTCTTATATAGGGCATATTCGACACTTACCCAGCTGGTCTTACTGGATCAATTACGACTGAGTTGCGAGTTCGATCTTCACTGGGCGCGCTATACACTCGGCCTTTGTGCCACATCTATACTACGCTTAGTAAATTGTTATATAGGACAGTTTGACGCTTAGCAAGTTTGTCTTACTAGAACTTCACTGGGTGCACCATACTCTTGGCCTTGTGCCACATCTACACTTTGCTTAAAATCTTATATAGGGCATATTCGACACTTACCCAGCTGGTCTTACTGGATCAATTACGACTGAGTTGCGAGTTCGATCTTCACTGGGCGCGCTATACACTCGGCCTTGTGCCACATCTATACTACGCTTAGTAAATTGTTATATAGGACAGTTTGACGCTTAGCAAGTTTGTCTTACTAGAACTTCACTGGGTGCACCATACTCTTGGCCTTGTGCCACATCTACACTTTGCTTAGTAAATTCTTATATAGGGCATATTCGACACTTACCCAGCTGGTCTTACTGGATCAATTACGACTGAGTTGCGAGTTCGATCTTCACTGGGCGCGCTATACACTCGGCCTTGTGCCACATCTATACTACGCTTAGTAAATTGTTATATAGGACAGTTTGACGCTTAGCAAGTTTGTCTTACTAGAACTTCACTGGGTGCACCATACTCTTGGCCTTGTGCCACATCTACACTTTGCTTAGTAAATTCTTATATAGGGCATATTCGACACTTACCCAGCTGGTCTTACTGGATCAATTACGACTGAGTTGCGAGTTCGATCTTCACTGGGCGCGCTATACACTCGGCCTTGTGCCACATCTATACTACGCTTAGTAAATTGTTATATAGGACAGTTTGATTCGACGAACTTCACTGGGTGCACCATACTCTTGGCCTTGTCTTACTAGAACTTACCCAGCTGGTCTTACTGGATCAATTACGACTGTTGCGCACTTCACTGGGCGCGCCATACACTCGGCCTTGTGCCACATCTATACTACGCTTAGTAAATTGTTATATAGGACAGTTTGACGCTTACACTAGAACTTCTACCATACTAGGCCTTGTATCTACATTTGCTTAGTAAATTCTTATATAGGGCATATTCGACACTTACCCAGCTGGTCTTACTGGATCAATTACGACTGAGTTGCGAGTTCGATCTTCACTGGGCGCGCTATACACTCGGCCTTGTGCCACATCTATATTACGCTTAGTAAATTGTTATATAGGACAGTTTGACGCTTAGCAAGTTTGTCTTACTAGAACTTCACTGGGTGCACCATACTCTTGGCCTTGTGCCACATCTACACTTCGCTTAGTAAATTGTTATATAGGGCATATTCGACACTTACCCAGCTGGTCTTACTGGATCAATTACGACTGAGTTGTGAGTTCGATCTTCACTGGGCGCACTATACACTCGGCCTTGTGCCACATCTATACTACGCTTAGTAAATTGTTATATAGGGCATATTCGACGCTTAGTAAGCTTGTCTTACTGTATCAATTACCACTGGGTTGTGAGTTGGATCTTCACTACTTTGCACTATTTCTCCTTTCGTTTGCTGAATTTATCCCATTTCTGCTAAAATCTTTTCTATTTTCCACATGCATTATACATGGTTACGTACCTGGAGTAAGGCCAGTAAGCGCTTCCGGTTGTGGCAAACGTACGTACTGATATATCATAATAATCAAGTATTACTTGTCTAATATCCACATACGCCTTTTCGATCGCCTTCTCGACCTCTTCACGCTAATTTTGCCACTTTGAAACTCTTATGCATTTTTTTTTCCGCAAAATATTTTAGTTTCTGATTAATTTTGACCCCTTTTCTTGGCTTAACATTTTGATATTATTAAGTACTTTTATTTATTTATTTTGATTTGATTCATATTTTGTTTCTATTTTAAATTTTTCTTTCATGTTTCTAACCAGATTTCTTAACGAACCCTTTTTTGTCTTTTCAGTTTTCTCCATTTTCCGCCATATTCATTATTTGTGTTCATTTTTCCCGCCCTTTTTTTTCGCTATTATCGCTTTCTTTTTTCATATTCTCTTTTTATTTTTCTCACTTTTATTTCTATTTTTCCCATATTTGTTCTATGTTGACTCTTTCTTTTCTCTTTCTCTCGTTTCCTTTCATATTCTCTCTTTTTCGCTTATCTTTCCTTTCCTTTCCTACTCTCACTTTCTTTGCCTTTTCTGCCTTTCCCCTTCATATTGTCTCTTTGTTTTCCTTCTCTTTTCTTTCCTTTTTATATTCTGTTTTTGCCTTATCTTTCCTTTCCTTTCCTACTCTTACTTTCTTTGCCTTTCCTCTCTTTTCTTTTCATATTGTCTCTATTTTTGCCTTATCTTTCCTTTCCTTTTATATTCTCATTTTCTTTGCCTTATCTTTCCTTTCCTTTCATATTGTCTCTTTGTTTGCCTTCTCTTTCCTTTCCTTTTTATATTCTCTATTTTTGCCTTATCTCTCCTTTCCTTTTTATATTCTCATTTTCTTTGCCTTATCTTTCCTTTACTTTCATATTGTCTGTCTGTTTGCCTTCTCTTTCCTTTCCTTTCCTACTCTACCTTTCTTTTCCTTTTCTCTCTTTTTCGTCCATATTTTCTTTTTCGTTTATATCATTCTAAATGCTCTTTTTTTAACGTTGAATTGCCCATTATTCCTTATCGATTCTTGTACTTTTATCTTTTCTTTGTATGTCTACTTCAGCGTTACTTTCCTCCTTGATTTTCATTTCTTTCTTCATTTCTTACCAGTAGTAAGCCATACAATAGTAAGCCCACCTTCTTCCGTTTTTTCTAAGTCCACCATTCATTACTTACATGATCTTTACTTTGAAAACGCCATATTTTTTTTTGTTTTTCCTTTCCGAAGTAAAACGTCTAAATCCTCTTTAAGAAATAAATAAAATTCATATTAAAAAGAATCATTGAAATCTTTCTCAGACAATTTTTCCGCCGACAAACTGTTCAATTTCATTCAACTATCATCCTTTTTCTTCCAGAGAGCGCCAGTGTCAATCGGCATTGGTTTTTACACCTCCCCCGATTTGTTTCTGCCAAAGCACTATGATAAACTAATAAAACTGGAAAGTGATCAAAGCAGAATAACAGCCAAGACGTTTTCTTTTCTTTTCTTTTTTTTAATGCACATTACGGACCAATGAAATCGCGTCTAGCATCAGTTACTGCTAGCTTCACCGTTTGGTGTCTCCCTTTTAAGCCAATCGTATGACGTATCTAATGAAGAACTTCTGAATTCATCGCGACTTAAATCGATATTCATACGGGCTCCAAACCCTCACCCAAGAAAACTACCTTATTGAATCAATATAATTACATATATTTAAAACATAAGCCGCTACACAATTTGCCTACTTATATATATATATATATATATATATATATATATATATATATATATATATATATATATATATATATTTCTTCAAACTAGTTTCATATATTACTATTTCATACATAAACTTGTTTATTAAGCAATAAACAAATATATACACATTTATATGTGTGTAAATATCTGTATATCTATATATGTATTTATAAATGTATATGAACATATATGTATTTATATGTTTATATATATTTGTATGTATATATATATGTATATATATATGTATGTATTTATGTATGTATACATACCTATATATATATATATATATATTTATTTATTTTAATTTTTCATATTTAAACTTGCTTATTAATCAATAAACAAATACATACAGATATGTGTATGTGTATATATGAATATATATGCATGTATATGTATTAAGTTATGTATAAGTATGTGTATATATATATATATATTTTGTATATATGTGTATGTATATATTGTGTATATATATATATATATATATTACTATTTCATCCATAAACTTGTTTATTAAGCAATAAACAAATATGTACACATATATATGTCTCTGTAAATATCTGTATATATATATATATATATATATATATATATAGATATATATATATATATATATATATATATATATATATATATATATATATATATATATATATATATATATACGTTTTATTAATATACTAGCAGTAGAGCCCAGCGTTGCCCGTGGATATAACATTCATAAAGACTGAAAAATAAAATTATTATTAAGATTATTGTTTAAGGTTGATGGACATAAACGTCTTAATTAGTTTTTTTTTTTTTTTTTTATTGGTCAAACCCAAACTCAAACAAAACATTGTTTTCAATCGTTTTGAGTCTACCGATTGAATAGAATTTTATTATAAACAATTGTCTTGTAAATGGAATTTTTAAAGCATTCTGAATGTAAAAATAAAGAAAAAAATGGGCAAGACAATAAGAAACACTACCTGCACCCCCCAAAAAAGTGAAGTTTTGTTGAAATCAGTTGAAAAATGTAGGAAATCCGATCCCATATATAAACACACACAAACACACACAAACAAACAACCAACCTGAGTTTTATAATAAGTATAACTCGATATTAATAAGTATAACTTGATATGAGTTGTCCCCCTTTCATTAATGCCTCTTAATCGTGTTTTCAAATTGATTTCATGCAAAAACAATTGTTTTTCCAATTTTTGGCGCTGTCAGAACCACCGCAAGGTAATTTTACGTAGTCCTGAGAAGTTTTGTTGAAATCGGTTGAAAAATGTAGGAAATCCGATCCAATATATAAACGTACAGACACACACACACAGACACACACACACACACACAGACACACACACACACACACACACACAAAATCTGCGTTTTATAATAAGTAAGATATAGAGAGAGAGAGTGAGAGAGAGAGAGAGAAAGAGACAAATGTCATTAAAAAACGACTGACAAGGTAACTTCTTAGTCGTTATTATGAAAATTGTATAAAAGGGAGGATGGCTAAATCAAATATATATATATATATATATATATATATATATATATATATATATATATATATATATATATATATATTTCTTCAAACTAGTTTCATATCGGGTAGTTGAATACTGAAATATGAAAATATATTTGTAAAGTGTTTCGGCCATTACATATCTTCGTCAGGCTAAATTAATGTCCTCATTGATGAAATTTTATATATACCTATAATATAGAATAAGCTACTTTGACAAAACATCTAGAAAACTAAAAGCCGACATCTACGACAAGTAAACAGTCTTACGCTGGGATAACTCTTTAAAGTCGCTCCTAACACACAAAAACAAACACAGGCCACAAACCCGATTTTATAAATGCCACCCTCATTTGAAAAGAACATAATTCATAAATTGGAAATACTTTACGAAAGTTCTCATAAATATTTGGTCATTTATAAATACAAGTGACACACACTTTTATAAAATCCATACTTAAATTACCTAAAATATATCTACCTACACTCGCTACCGGTTTAACTTAAATTATTTCACTCTCGCATAAATCAGTCCCCACAATCAACATACGGGCAATCACCAAGCCAATGCTGAAATGTGCATGCGGACACATACACACAAACATAAACATACGCACAAGCAAACACACACGAATACTCATTATCAACTGAATCCTGCATAAACAAACTAGCGTTATGATAGACATTCACTTATAATTTATACACACGAACGCTGTGACAGGACAAATACGCGTGAAGTCTGCTTAACCAATGAATAACAAAAGCAAAAAGCACAATAGCATAATTTTCTTTTTTCTATCCATATTTCAATTACCTGATGTATCAATAATAAAAGTGAAACACGTTAGATTTATAAACGTTTCCTATTTGTCCCTTATCGTGTTATATATATATATATATATATATATATATATATATATATATATATATATATAAAAAATATAGTCTTAAGATGTGCTATATTTATGGGATAAAGTTCTCAATATCAGAGATAGAGCATGTGTAAATATAAATGTGAACATAGAGGTCAGCACTTAGAGGCGACAGTCTGTTTCATGCTAGATGCAATCCCCAGGCCTGAGGATTGCATCTAGCATGAAATAGACTGTTGCTTCTAAGTGTTGACTTCTTATGTTCATATATATATATATATATATATATATATATATATATATATATATATATATATATATATATATATATATATATATATGTATCAGAGAGTGCTCAGTGGTAGAAACACTGACTGACACCAAATCGGTTGGGTTTCAATCATGGCTTGATGCATTCGGATGTCTAGTCACACTGAGGAGCTGTGATACAGCGAAACTGTAATGTCTGCATATATATATATATATATATATATATATATATATATATATATATATATATATATATATATATGTGTATGTGTGTGTGTGTGGTTCGTAGCGTGTTTTCATTCAGACAGGTTTCGTTAAAAAAATTTAGATAAGCTTTTTTGTTAAGCTTGCTTATTAAAAGACAAGAGGAAAACACCATATTGGCTCATATTGTATTTATGTCATGGCTGGTTGACAGACACCGTTTAAGGGGAGATAACTAAGTATGCTGTAGAAAATTTCAGGGCTTGATTTGTTGCTAGATGGAGAACTTTATGACTGCCATAAAAAGACAAATTATTTTTATTACCACTCATGATGATAATAAAAAATAAAACTGTAAAACGGGCTAACCGGTTTCGAACCTTACTCAACAGAGCTAAATCGAGATTAATAAATAGAATTAACACTAAAAATGTGGACAATATGTAGAGAGGAAAAAAAAATATTGCTTAGAAAGAAATTAGTTGGCGGCCCAGTAGGAAGTCCTTCTGTTTACACAGAGAGGGCTTCGACGATATATATATATATATATATATATATATATATATATATATATATATATATATATATATATATATATATATATATATATATAGGGTGACCCCAAAAAATGGGAACTTTTTTAACAATGCAATAAAACCAAGAGTGATGGAAGAAAAATATTTTCTTCATAGTAATTGAAACCTTAAAACATGCCATTTAAGAAACAATGATGGAATTTTCATTTTTTAAAAATGACGTCCTATAGATGGCGTCCTCCTGTACGAATGCATTCTTGAAATCTGCTGTTGAGATTCCTCATTGACTGCTGCAACATCTCAGCTGGGATACTGTGAATTTCATCTTGAATTCTAAATGGCGAAGTCTCGTAGTGTTGCCACTTGCTCATGTCTGGCAATATGCACTTCAAAAAGACGTGGTCACCCTGTATACACACACACACACACACACACATATATATATATATATATATATATATATATATATATATATATATATATATATATATATATAAAATCAAGTGAACTTGACCCTTTAGAAAATCTTGGTATATAAAAATATGAATTAAGCGGATGAAAAAAAAAAAATTTTGTCGTTGAAACCCACACGACTCGCTGAGTAACGGACCTATACGTTTGTTAGCAGGCACCCCAATCTCACCTAAACTTAATTTGGCTTAGTAAGTAATATACTGTCTAGCGAAATTAAAACCCAACCACTCCTAAATTAAAAGAGATTGAATTTTCCTTAACCTTAACAACTCATAATAATAATATTGTATGCGCTTATAAATTAAGTAAATTTCTTAGGAAGTTATTGCTAGCATCGCTTGACAATGGAACGAGATAATGGAATTTAAGTTTGACTTTATAATTAAATTTATAAATTTAGTTTCAGTTTAGAAACATGGAAATTGTGTCGTGATGAAAGCATATTTAAAAAAAAAGATATATATATATATATATATATATATATATATATATAATAAACAGGCTTAAACACTAATATTCCATGGTCATGATTTATTCCATTGGAATCGTAAATACGATCCAATTCATCAGACCTACAAATTCAAAAAGAAAACAGAAAAAAACAACTCCGGAAATAAAAAATAGAATTAAGAGAGAGTCTAAGTATGAGAGCGGGGGCGAATGTTAAAGCTAAAGAGAGGTTAACAGACGAGAAGGTGGGATTTAACCTTAACAGAAAGAAGTTTTAGAGAGGTGAGTTGGAGAGGTTTAAGTGAGAGAAATAGCAATGCTGTCGGATGTCTAATACATTAAACATGTAACCGGAAAGGATACATTTTGTGGTGACAGACCCACACACACAATATATATATATATATATATATATATATAGTGTGTGCAGCAAAACTCTAGCAATTACCTCCCACATAATGGCAAGTTATTAGTTACAAGATTCCTTACCATTACATTGACTTACGTGCTAATACCTTGTTCTCCTCTTAGCTATGGGTAACATAGCAGGACAGACCGGGTTCTATAGCCTTGGATAGCAACTGGTCTACCGCAGAAAGCAATGGCAACCTACTGCGGGAAAAGATCTGGCTCGTCATACATGTATCAAAAGATACATGATCGCCTAACAGGTATCACTTATGGAATAGAACTGACTGATATACGGGAGATATTTCTGCCGCAATATATATATATATATATATATATATATATATATATATATATATGAAACAGGACTAAACACCTTAATTCAACTTAATTTTAATAATTATTTGGATGGTTTCGGCTCTCGTTTTTGAAACATGAGAACACTTATGTAGTGAAGGAATCATATTTTTAAACAAAAAATATTATAATTTATATATCTAATAACTGATACAATGATGCTGACAAAAATCTAGACATCCCTTGTCCAATTCAAGTAGAATATTCTGTAACCATGGAAACGTGGATTTTGCTGTGTCTTTAAAACCCAGTAATTTTTGAAAGTTACTCCAAAATTCGCTTGAAGATGAAATGGAACTAATGCTTTTAATTTAATTGCAAAATTAAATTCGGGGCTTTTAGCTTCTATTTTTTGAAACATGGTTAGAACTGTGTGTCGAAAAAACATATTTTAAATCAATTAATTTAATAATATATATATATATATATATATATATATATATATATATATATATATATTGGCGTAGCTCGTTATTATTTATGTCTGCTCCTATCCATCTATCTATCTATCTATCTGTCCAATTACCGAGTTCGGAAAAAATCTGTCTCGTCAGTCATATATCGAAAGATATATGGTCACTTAAGCGTGTACCATGCATAGCATATAACTGACTGATATGCGGGAGGGTATTTCTGCCGCAACATACATACATACACACACACACACACACACATATATATATATATATATATATATATATATATATATATATATTTGGGTAGCCTTTACCAGATGGGTGTGTTCGGAAACGCGTAGTTCGTTATTCTCTGTCTGTCTGCTCCTATCTATCTATCTATCTATCTATCTATCTAATCTGTCTGTCTGTCCAATTAGCAAGTTCTTTGGCCTCAACAACGTCCGCCCTATTGTCGACATTTAGGTTCCTTTATATTCATTCTGAATAATACGAAGCCTTTATTCGGTCTTCGACAATTTTGGCTACCTCTGCTTTTTTAATTTTTTAAATTTTTTTATTTTATAACTTCAACGTTTATTTATTCCTCGTTAGTGGCAAAAGGTTCGTTATATTTTTTTCGTGGAATTCACTTCTGTCTGTCAAAAACTGCACAATGATTTATCAACCTACATACCAATCTGCAAAATTCCAACCAGTCTTATATATATGTAATCTACACAGTTAGACCTACGCAAATATATATATATATATATATATATATATAGATAGATAATATTAGTGATTAATACACACACACACACACACACACACACACACACGTATATATATATATATATATATATATATATATATATACAAAAACACACATATATATATATATATATAATCGACTCTCCCGTCGAGTTCGACGTATGAGGGTCAGGCCGATAAGTCTCAGAAATCGACATCCCGACATCCCGACATGAGATTTGATTTGACTGGTGAAGGCCTCGTGCAGGACCAGCCACACTTTTTGGAGGACGAATACAGAAACCTGGTGCACCGAATGCCACAAGGTTCCCAAACGACCCTCCGCAGGTTTTGAATTCAGAGTTGTCCTTCTCCTAGACCAGTTGCCATCCAAGGCTATAGAACCCAGTCTGTCCTGCCATTTTACCCATAGCTGGAGGGAGATGAAGAGGATTCATACCTTTCCTATCGGTGAATGTAATGGATTCGACTGAATTCGAACTCGGTTCTGCGATATTCAATCCAAGCCATATCCATTACTCCACCGTGCCTCCCAATATATATATAGGACAGAGGAAGAGTGTTCAAGCCTTTTTATTATATATATATCTACATAAATTACAACCAGTGTTAATATATGTAATCTGCACAGTTACACCTACGCAAATATATATATATATATATATATATATATATATATATATAGATAGATAGATAGATAGATAGATAGATAATATTAGTGATTAATACACTCACACGCACACACACACACACACACATACACACACACACACATATATATATATATATATATATATATATATATATATATATATATAATTCAATAACATCAACTATGAACACGGCCTCAATGTCCGGACCGTGTTTGGAAAAATTACCATCACTCTAGAAACATATATAAAAATTTACACATTCAGGTAAAAATAAAATTCATCCTTGATATATATAGTTAATATATATATATATATATATATAGTTGATATATATATATATATATATAGTTGATATATATAGTTAATAGAAAACTGAAAGCGCTCAGAGATATAAAACATTCGAACAGTTTTTATATAATTTATATCCAGAAAAGAAATCACAGACAAACACAAAAAATTGAATAAAAACTTAATCGTTATACCTTGTCTGTTGTCTTCACTGAAGCATGTATAAAAGAGAGGTTGTTGCAAAAATACACATTTTATGTATCATCCCTTCGTCGTTGATGACAAATGGCTTTTTAGACCTACAAGAGTCTTGCAGTTCTTCGCAAGTTGCTGACATGTCAGTCTTCCTGTCGCAGCTTGCCTTTTTTGATACTGGCTGTGGAAATGTCGTAAGAGTCCGCCGGCTGATCGACACACTTCATGGCAGATTGTATATGTATGATCATCAGTGATGTCATAATGGTAGTTGACATCACGATTGACTCGGCGTGTGGCTGAGAAGAACTGCTCTTGAAAAGCAAATGCGGTCACATTGATCACATGTAAGAGACTCATTCGATCCACGTGTCTGGTAGAGTTTTAACGATTCTTATGTATATGTTTGCATTTTTTTTTTTGTTGTTGTTGCACATATTCTATCCCGCTGTTGCTCAAAATTCTTGTCACCAGTAGCAATAAGATTTTCCATATTTGCCGATCAGTTGCAAATTCTTCCCATGTGTCTATATTTGTTTGTGTCTTTTTTTTTCATTGTCTTTATAGAATTTGCCGGGGTTATAAGTGCGGTCGATTTTTCTATGTTAACTCTCGATATATAACGTGTTTAGGTATGCGTGGGTCTTCTAGGCGGACAAAAATATCAGGCCCTCTAAATTGATGCTTCATAATCAAGGACTCAATACTTGCCGATTTTACCAACTGCAGCCCTCTTGTATCAAGCACATGTGGTCGCCAGGATAAATTTAGAATATTACGCAGACAATGCTGATGGTATAGCCACAAAGAAGTAAATTTATGGATAATAATCAATAGCAAAGACTTACTGAATAATTGCAAAATACCATGAATAATCGATAACAAATACTGAGTTAATAGTTAACAGCAAATACAACACCCCAAATTATTTCTACTCTTTTTTCGGGGGTTTGAGTAATATCCATTTTATGACTCTGCTTGAGAAGTTAGGTGCAAATAAATTCGAGCTCCATTAGACAATTAACCTAATGAGCCATATAACGACACTCATAAAGCGAATTCTGATAAATAGAGTGCTTGTCAGAATTAGACGGGAAATAAGACAAGTGTAGAGTCATTTATGATACTGAAACCGAATGATATCAGAAAGAACAATACAAATGCAAAAGCATGTATAAATATGTCTTATTGATTATTCAAAAGCGTTTAATGGGGTACGCCACAAATAACTGTTGGAATTGCTAGATAACCTTGACATAATTGGGAAGGATATTAGAATAACCCAAAACCTTTCTCAGCAGCAAGCCGCCTGCATACGGATAGAAAATGAATTCAGTAAATATTAAAAAAAAAAAAAGAAAAGGGTGTGAAACAAGAACATGTCTTCACATCGGACTTATTCAACACAAAAGGATCTTTTATAAAACAACGCACTCACTGCATTAGTTGTCCACCATAATGAGTTTGGCTATAATTTTGATTTCAAAAATGCAACTTTAATTAAAAGAGAAAGCAATTTACTAAGACGAAAATGTATAGAAAGTGCTTTAATCGCTACAAGATCTACTGCAAATTTACACCCAGGTTCTAAAAACATTTATCTTTGCAGAGCTTCTATTATAACAATGTGTGGCATTAAATTGTTGTGGTAAATTACCCACGCACGCATGGACTCTCCTAGCTATAAATAGGAGCAGGTACTGCCTTTTGGAGAGGGAAGATTCCAGCAGTCAGCTCTGTCAGTCGGACCGAACATTCTTGCTGTAACACTATCGTTTGTATATGTTTGTATTCCTGTTTCAGTTAATATATTCTTTTGCTCATTTCCTCTCTTTGTGTCTTTATTTCTGGCCCTAACAAGGCCACAAGTCTTAGATAGAGAGATAGATAGATAGATAGATAGATAGATAGATAGATAGATAAAATACTGAGATGGATAACATGCTTAGTATTATGGTAAGTTACGCACGCATGGACTCTCCCAGCTATAAATAGGAGCAGGTACTGCCTTTTGGAGAGGGAAGTTTCCAGCAGCCAGCTCTGACAGTCGGACCGAACATTCTTGCTGTAACACTCTCGTTTGTATGTTTGTATTACTGTTTCTGTTAATATATATACATATGTTATATATATATTTATTTTTGGCCCTAACAAGGCTACAACATTAATGACAAAAGCGATCGAAACATAAAAAAAAAAAAAAAATCGGCTACCCAAAATTTTTTTAAATAATTTAAATTTTCAGTGTCTCCTCTCTTTCATGCGTATATTGTTACCAATCAAGGCCTCAAGGATGAAACGCGTTGCACGAATCTTTTTTCCACTTTTCTGTCACATTTTATATTTCATTATTATTATTATTATTATTATTATTATTTAAATAATATATTTAAATTATGCATATGTTGTCACACATGAAATGACGAAAATTTGTTGGTTGTTGATCCGGTCGTCTAACGAAGTAACCTCCATAATACACATAAAAAAAAATCTTGATTTATTCCTAACTTTTTTTTCTTTCCAGACAATTTTTCTTTCAATATATTGTTACTCATAATCCCAATGAAAATCATTATAATGAAACAATGTCGATTAATTCTACCGTATGAGAACAATCTGGGAAAACGGAACCGTTTTTTGTATCGAAGCTTACATACGATGAGAAATGGATATTCTTTGACCAAAGTAAGGCAGTAGGCCAGTGGTTTACATGCAAGTAAATCACCAAAACAATATCCAAAACCTCCGCTGCACCCTAAAAAATATTAGGTTGTCCCAAAAGTTCGTAAACACTTGCAAAAATTGAAATTTCACTCATAAGTAATAACAAAAACAACCAAAATTATTCCTCAAAATAAAGACCATTATTTTCCAAGACTTTCTGCCATCGATCTGCAAGCTTTCGGATCTGGTGAAAGTACCATTCAGCCGGCTTCGAATCAAAGAATTCTTGAGACGCTTCCTCGACTTCATCAAACAAGTCGAATCGGCGGCCCTTCAGAAAGTGTTGCATTGAGCAGAAAAGGCCGTAATCTGATGGAGCACAAGTCAGGATTGTAGGCTGGATGTGGCAGAACCTCAAAACCGTCCAGCTCTTCAAACTTGTCTTTGGTCTTCCTGGCGGTGTGGCTTGCATTGTCCTGCTGCATCAAAGCGCGCTTTCGGTTGATCAGAGCCGGGTACTTTTGCTTCAACTTTTCGTAGACCCGCTCCAGTTGCTGACAGTAAAGTTCAGCACTGATGGCACGACCATTCGGAACCAACTCAAAATGCACGATTCTTTCAAAGTTCCACCAAATGAACCCATCGCTTGTCTCGATTGTGCTGGATTGGGTTGCATAAAAATTAAATTTTTCGCAAGTGTTTACGAACTTTTGGACAACTTAATATAATGGTTACTGTATGTTGGTCTTTCAAAGGGGTTATTCCCTATTCATTCTTGTCTCGAGGAAAAACAATAGCATCAGCCTCGTATTGTGGAGAAATTGAGTGTATGCACAAAAATATTGAAAAAGAAACATCCTAGACTTTTGAATATGGGCGGTCCAATTTTGTCGCATGACAGCGCACGACCGG